TATTAATAATTTTAATTAATATCTCAATAATAATAAATTTATTACTATTGAGATATTATTAATTAATATTAATATTGATAATTTATTATTAATTCTCAATAATATTAATGTTAATTAATAATATCTTAATAATACTAAATTTATTATTATTGAGATGTTAATTAAAATTATTAATATTATTACGTTCAATATTATTATATTGAAAAACAATTATTCAATATAATATGTATTATATAATAATAAAAATATAACAAGTTTCTTTTTTAACGAAATATTGAAATAGTCCTAAATATACATTCAATAAAGTATTGAAAATATAGCGGTATCATTGACGCGTAGTAATTCTGCAAGTTTTATTTGAGCTAGTGACACTTGAGAGTATTTAAGATTTGAGAGTCCCATGCGAGCGTAGCATAGTGGTTAGCGTGCGAGATTTCGGTGCGTAAATATTCGGTTAGGCGTAGGTTCGTACCCCCAAGCGTTAGGATTTTTCAAATGTCTATGTAATAAAAAATTGCGTTTAAGTGTATAAAAAAATAAAAAAAATGTGTAAAGTGAACTGTCAATGAATTGTCATTAGTATTTATCTTTTGCAATTAATTATTATTTTTTTTATTGATATTTGTTGAAATTATCATTTGGATCCGACCCGGTTGCCAGTCGGTAGAATGCCAGCGCTCAGCTGGCTATTAAATGAAAAATCCGCGGTCGGTAGAGTGCCAGGTCCCAGCCGGTTGAATTATGCACGGAACGGCTTCTCCCGGCCGGTCAGCGGGCGGTAGAATGCCAGTTCCGAGCCGGTTGCCAGCGCGCTCCTGGCCTAGTCACTATTCGGTAGAATGCCCGTTCACATTCGGTTGGCAGGCGGTTCCGAGCCAGTACAGTTACACCGGCGTCAGTACGGGCTAGGATCCACGCCGGTTGGAAATTTCCGCCTGGGCAAGTTAATGCCATCTTTTAGGAAACTTTCGGTGCTGGGTGTCAGTCAAATTCGCACATTTTTTTTCAGTATGAAGATAAATCTTCCAAGCGGTATTCTACTTGTTGGAACAGATAAACAATTTTACTTAGAAAAGAGCATTTTTAGTGTTTTGTAAATATTGGATAATATTTAGTTTTGAATTTAAAATTTTAAAGTTGCATATAATATATAATCACACGGAAAATCATGAATTAATTATTTTGTATCGCTTACCTATACACTTTAATTCTTAAAAACTGCATTAACACATTAAAATCATATTTTCTTTTAAGAAAAGCAACATAAATAGTTGGATATGCAATATCTCTATAACTACACTGTAAAAAATTTAGGGAGTTAACGGACTCGGGAGTTGGGAGTGAAATTTTTCGAGTTAAAAATCAACTCCAAAAGAGAGTTAATTTACTAACTCCTTTCATCAACACCCGCGCGAGTTATTTATTCCTTGGGGATTTAGCACAGGGGTGTAAAGTTTTAACTCTTTTCATCCAACTCCCTTGCCATTAACTCCCCAATGGGTGCGATTTTTATAGAATCCCCTGGGGAGTTAAAATTTAACTCTTTTTTTTTACAGTGTGTAACACATTTAACATATTTCTCCACACCATTTTCTGTAATATAGTACAATTTATTGTTAATATCTTTACAATAATATTTAATTATTTTTCAATTTGCAAATTTCTTTATTCATAGGTACACAGAGAGAAGTAGGATATATAAGAATTGAATCAACTGCCATCATAACATAAGAATAGATACATACTAGTTTCTATTGCATAAAAAAATGATATGTTGGTAGTTAGTTTTATTATAACACTTTTAAAATCAATCAAATGTATTTCCAGTAAGTACTGAAAATTGAAGGCTCCATCCCACATATAGCGTCGAAAATTTTCTAATAGTTGAAATTACCTTGACTGCAATGTTTGTAATCTTTAGTTACGAGGCTCTTTAAAGTTGAAGTAATTCTTTAAATTTCAAATGCACAGTAAAAAGAAAGTCTTATTTTAAGGCAGGAAGGCAGCCTTAAATTAAGAAGCAACATTTTTAAGGCTGTCAATGCTGAATTTAAGCAGTGGATTTTGTATGATTTAACATTAGAGCAGACAGTGCTGAATTTAAGACTGATCTTAAATTAAGATTTATTTTTTACTGTGTGTTTTTCAATTATTGACGCGAAAGTTGACTGATCATTGCATGAAAGTTTAAAATTTCTTCAACTCTCTCATGCAATGTTCAGTCAACTTTTACGTGAAACATTGAATAACATCGGGCATTTAAAAAAAAACTTCAAGTTTCATGAGCTTTGCATTAAAGATTTCGAAAGTTGCATGCAGTCAAGCTAATTTCAACTTTCGGGAAATTTTCGGTGCTGTGTGGGATGTAATAAGGGGACGAATGCGCGCGGTCACAAACGATAAGCACACTGACCCGCTCTCTACTGTTATAGGGGACGTCCATTAATTACGTGAGTTGATTTTTTTAAAAAACTGGACCCCCCTCCCCCTTGGTGAGATTTTGTGAGATTTAGCTATACCCCCCTCGCCTTTACATGAGATTTTTTTCTTTTTTCTTTCAAATACATAAGGGAAAAATGGAGGTGTATGAAAATTAGAATTTCTTTATTTATTCAATATTACAATTGTCATGGCTACAAAACGCGTTTAGAAATATTACATGATGAAGGACAGTTTATAGTAACCAAAACAAAACGTTAACAAAACTAACCATCACAAATGAATCCACAGTATAGCCATCTCTCTCTCTCTCCGTGTAAGAGCTACTTTTTTCATTTGTACCTTTAATTATACAGAAATGATGCTATAGTTATTGCAATAAAATAATCTAAACATTCTAAATTCAGATTAACAGAGCGATACCATCAAAATATAGTTTTTTATTTAATTAAAAGTTATTTACTTACAATAAGAGAAATGGATTTTTATGGTAAAAAGTAGATTTTACCCGGTACCATCAAAGATATTTGTTACACCGAACAACCTGATTGTATCTCCTACACAGAAAACCTATTTTCAAGAATTATTACGAAATTTATTCAAGAATTCAGGATATGGGAAAAATGTTAAACTTTTTTCAGAAAAGTTCAATATTCATTAAAGAATTTTCGGGTGATATTCTAATGGCTTGGAAATAATTGTTCTTGACGCTGCGACTGGATATTTCAGTCACTGCGCGCTGAAGAATTCCAGAACTATTTAAGAAGGAAGACGTAGCGTAACCTATAGATATACAGCGTCTGTTGGCTTTAAATATAATCCAAAGCTATAATATCGTTACGCGTCCTGCAGACGAGTGGCATAAGGTGGAGAGATCTTTCTCAGTCTCGAGGTCTCAAGTTTGACTACTCACGCAGGGAAATTTTTTTCCTTAATTTCACATTTTTCTATTCTTAAACCACCCGTGTAGAAATTTTGACAGGACCCTGGTCGGGTCCAGATCGGGCTTCCCCAAACCGTCTATCAAGATAGCGCTGTCTGTACACTGTAAAAAATTTAGGGAGTTAACGGACTCGGAAGTTGGGAGTGGAATTTTTCGAGTTAAAAATCAACTCCAAAAGAGAGTTAATTTCTAACTCCCTTCATTCAACACCCGCGCGAGTTATTTTTTCCTTGGGGAGTTGGCATTTGGGTGTGAAATTTTAACTCTCTTTATTTAACTCCCCAATGGGTGCGACTTTTATAGACCCCCCGGGGGAGTTAAAATTTAACTCTTTTTTTTACAGTGTATAATATTTAGCACTAAATCATTATGTTACACTGTAACTTATTCTTCTCTCAGTGTATTTATAAAAAGTAATGATGTGTTTAAAAGAAAGAATCCATTTAAGACGAATTAATATGAACTAACTCATTCCTCTATGGTTTGCGCCAAATACAAATTAGAACTTTATCAAGAAATAAGTATATAATGAACTAATGCATTGGAGAGTGAATATACATTCGTCGGAGGAAAAGTCTGAAGCAATGACAAAGTTTCTTCTACGCGGGCATGCACAAATGCAATATATTTCTCTGTAGAAATAATTGAAAAATTATAATTAATGATAGAACGTCAAAGGGGCCTCTGGAAGCTTCTATTTCAAGACGTTATAAAATTAATTTGGATTTAGTTAAAGACAAAGTCTAAACTTAAATGCCAGGACCAGTCTTACTCCCTGCGGTATATATCCATTTTAATTTGTCACTAATTCCGTTTATACAGCTATATATAACGACTATAATGTGTTTGAATTCAGAACTGTTTTTAAATTTATAGCAATATAGTATGTATGCTTTCCACTGGACGAATCTTTTAAAATCATAATATAATAAATGGTATAGATTAAATATGAAATTATTTCAACAAATAAGTTTTGTCATTAAAAAACTTTTTTTAGATTTTACTTAACCCGGCGAGCGTAAGGTTAAGGCCATTTGAAATATTATGACGTCACAATTTGTGCAAAGCATGTGTTTTAAAGATGTGACGTCATAATGGTTTAAATGCCCTTAAAGATTGGAACACTGAGCAAACAAAATGAAAATGAAAATTTAAAGTTTTTACAGGATGGCCATTGAAAAAATCTCTTTAAACAGATAGGGCTCAAGCACAATATTAAGTTCGGGAAACTTGATTGCATCCAGCAAGATCATTCATTAACTATCAAAATTTAAGGTTTAAGGACAAATTCACTTCTAATTCAAAGTTTTTTCAATGCATGACAAAAGTCACGTTGAATTCAAGGCTTTCAAGGTGGTTCCAATGTAATTTATCAATTTTGGCTTATGAGCTTAATAATAGTAAAAAATTTAATTGTACCAATTATTTTTTTAAATTATTTTACAGTTATGCGATATTATTGTCAGAGCAATAAACTGCTAAATTTGTAAAGAAAATTCAAATCTTGGAGATACGTTGTGCAAATTTAATAAACAATATGTAATAGTAATTTGTTTAATAAATCATAAAAAATTTATTTATTTATTTATTTATTAAAAAACTTTATATTCTACTTTTCAAATATTAAATGGCACTAAATTAGGAAAGAAACAGTACGACTCCAGGTAAATTGTATATATAAAAAGTTTTTAAATTACAAAAATAACGATTGTTTAAACTCTTATTGCATCAAATATTGCATACTTAATCTAGTTTATTCGTTTATCATATTATGTTATTACACTCTTCTTGAAAATTATAAGGAACGTCATCATTCAGTCTATACTGTGACCTTTGAGAAAAGTTTATTATTTTACCCAAGTATAGTCTGCGTGAGGTTAAGGGAAACTTCTAGCGAGCTCACCAAACTTGATAATTATTAACAGAACATTCTTTAAACCTTCATTTTTATTTCTTAATACTTTTTCGTTTTTAATTAATAGTTTCAATTAAGAAATTGAAAAAACTAATCTTTCAAAATACTATTCGAAATGATGATGATAATAATAATAATAGTATAATAATTGACAATAGTAAATTAATAGAACAATCATTAGAAATTTATCTAAGAGTCTTAAAATTTTATAAAACTTGGGTTCTTTAGATTCACACTTGATCTGTATCAAGGTTGAATTTCTAGTCCATAATTTATAAAGTAAGCGGTTCAAGTTGTACAGGATTTTAAGTTTTGCTTTTAAGCGTTATGTTTATAATATTAAACTAAGCGTATATAAATACACAGGTCTCCTAAAAGGAGAAATAGAACTCTTCCCTAACTTTACACTAAAGCTTTCTAACCTTCCCCGCCCGGGAATATCATGGAAAGGTTCTTGTAAATGCAAACAAGAATGTATGTTAAAAAATTCAAAGTTTTCATAAGGCGGAAATTTGAATATTACTGTAATCTTTATATATTAGTATTTCACATATGGAAGCTAAACTGTTTTCATATGTTGTGCTTAAAAACAAAAGACTGAAAGAGAGAGAGAGAGAGAGAGAGGGGGGGGGAGGGGGAGAGATGACAGTATAACTTGAGCATTTTTTACAACATTTTAGCGGATTTTTTTTCTAATTTCTCCTGAGAAATGAAGCTGTGTACATTGTGAAATCTTCAATTTCAGGTTTTGATTAATTTTCAGCCTTCTTTCTTTTGTACGACGAATTCAAGCAAAATAAAGTCTTACTTTATTTCAATTCGTCTAAATTAGTATTTTTAACTCAACAATAGGGTAAGAGAGAAATTAATGGCCATCTTTTGGGCACCACTCTCTGCACTAAACCTTCTCTCTGACAATCGAGATACTCTTTCATTACAAAATAAAAAACAAAGGAGTGATCTCGGCCTGCAGCTCTCCGCATTAATAAGCAGATATTTAACAAATACATTTTTTAATGTTTTCTTAACATGTACAATTCTACTATATAGTAGACATTTAACCAAATAAATTTCCATCTTATAATAGTAATAATGAAGAAACAATAAGACGCTATTGAGTCCACGCATTGGACATGTGTAGCAATCTGAAACGCATAGTAAATAGCAATCCATTGTGCTCGCTTTGTTCTTAAATAACCTTGTTCCAAACTAAAGTTAAACATCAACAGTAATCTGAATATTATATTATAACTAGTATAGGTACTGTAAATTCGTAAGTGAAAATCAGTAGAATATAACTCTTTAAAACCGCATGCTCGGAATGTCCATACAGCTCATTAAATTAAATTGATGCAACTCAAAATTATGAGATAACGTTGAAATTATCTTTCAACTGATAATAATCTTGACTATTTACGATTAAGAGAGAATGATATCACAGTAATATTTGGTGAATGTTTTTTTCTTCAGCGAGGTATAAAAATTTTTTAACCGTCAAATTCCTAAATACATAGTACAAGTATAATAACGCGAATTTATATTGGAACTTAATTTTGGTTTTGATTCCATTATTTTGGCAAGATAAGGATCCGCAGCTTCAACTCCAGAGTGTGTTGTTCAACTCATGCAGAAATTTTTTGTTTTCATACTCTTATCAGAGTAAACATTTTCCATAAGGTTTTAACAAAGAGGGACGTCCATTTCAAAACTGTCCAGCAGATGAAATTTATCACGTTTTCTTCATCTATGAAAAATATTAATGATAAATAACTATATATAGGTATAGAATAAGAGTTATTAATTATTAATAAATGTTTTTAGTTCTAAGCTTTTTTAATACAATTTTCAACAAAATATAACTAGGTACTCTTTAAATCTAAATCAATGAAATGCCACTGAAGATCAGTGAAATTTGACTGAGAATAGAGCGCGCAGTCACTGACGATGAAAACCATCAGTCAACTTTCACTGATTTAAAGTTGTTTTAGAGAGTAAATTAACTAATCACATTATATATTTACAATGAGAGATAATATGCATATTAAATTTTGTTAAAGTATTTTACAATTTCGGGAAAATGTGCAACAAGGCGAAATTTTGATAGAAAAAATAGTAAATTTGAATAAACTTTTAAAAATTTACCAAAGTATCAATTTTATATATAAATTTACTAAATTTATAAAAGGTTTTCTAAAGTTTGGTATTTTTTATATGAAAATTTTGCTTTGTTGCACCTTTTCTCCAAATTGTAAAATACTTTTACAAAATATATTCTCTCTCCGATTACTTTGAATAATATAAATTTTAAATTAAAAGTGCTCCATGCACAATAGTCTTTTGGCAGAGGAACTCGGTTTGAAATGGAATGTCCTAAATACACACAGAAAAAAATGACTTATGACTTGTGTATCAGTGAAATTTTCATTGATTCAGATTTAGAGTGTATGACTAAAACAGCCCAATTGTTTGTCTGTATGATATCCACCAATATACCAATACGACTCACCTGCTATTCAAGCAACTTAAGCTTACAGGCAATGGTTCAGACGATACAGCAGGAATATGTCCTGCAACTGTTTCCATGAGTGGATACCATTGAGCGACTGGTTTTCTTGGATTATCTAACATTTCCAGCCAATGATCTCGACCAACACCAATAAAGCTTGAACCAATAGCTGTACATCCCATCAACTCATTTGATCCGATTCTGTGATGGGAAATGTAAAAAATACATTATCACTGATAATTATTATGTTTCAATATTTTATAATTATGAATTGATAAATATATGCAGCTCAGAATTTGAGCAATAAATGGCAATTTTTTTTATTTTACCTGTCGTAATCGATTACTTTTATGATAAGGCTGACGTCTTCAATATTTTCAGCAGGTACATCAAAGACAAGAGCCTCATTGTAAATAGGACACAGGCAATTCTTCTTGACACTTGTTTTTTTCTTTTTTATTCTCTTCCCTTGACAAAGAAGGTATACCTTGACATATGGATCTAAAAGCATTTATTATTATTATTATTATTATTATTATTATTATTATCTTTCAGAAATATAGTGGAAGTTACTTATTTAAACGCGTGTTTTTAGAAACAGAAAGACTATCTTCATAAAAGTTTTATATATAGGTAGGTATTATACCTGATGATCCTGTTATATCCATTGCTTTTAAATTTCTGGCTTTTATAACAGTTAATGTTAATCGTCCAGCAGTGGGTAAATAGCATAACGTCAACATTAATTCACCCAAGTCGACTTTTTCCTAGAGAATTAAGTAAATTAAAATAAGATGAAACATTACAGTTTGGGTTTTTACACATATTGTTATTTGTAAAATATATCGAAATTTATTGTTCATATTGAATGCTATAATAATTTACCTGCATTGCACATAAAATTTCCATAGTATATTCGATTTCTTTTTCTAGATCAGTGCAGTCTAATAGTCCCTTAAGCACTACCTGTCCAATCAGGTCATGACGAGAAAATCTATCAAAATCATAAACTGAAAATTGTAGATACCGTTCTCTTAAATCTTCATATGGTACACTGAAAATAAGTTGTATAATAAGTTTAATGTTATATATTTACATACATACATACATGCAAGTCATCAACCCTCAACTCTTTTGTGATTAAGATTCTATGTGAAATATATTACAAACTTGTCTACTTTTTAAAACTCTTCTTAAAATATATCGTTCACAACTTTTCCATCTTACCTGAAAATAAACGTCTCATTAAATATTGGATTTAAATTTTTTCTGTGAACTTTAGTTTGATATTTCTTCTTTCTGTCTGGTAAAAGATAAACTTTAACATAAGGATCGCTGCTTCCTGTTACATCTTTGACTGGTAACTCTCGAGCTTCCAACACCTAACACAAAAATAAAAACACTCATTCATTATTCGTTTCTATTTATTTCTTAAATCACTTTTTAAAGAATTAAGCGCGCACAAGAAAACGCAATAGTATAGAAACTATTTCACAAAATATTCTTTAGAAATTCAATGAATAGAATTGAATAGAATGTATTTACTAACTTTGACTACGAGTCCCTCAATTTCCTGATCATAGCGTAAAGCAAAATGTAGTTTTCCAGCATATTCCATGTCTGTCGTACTGGAACTTTCATTGCTTTCTTGTCTTGTTAAATCTTTTTTATACAACTCTGGCTGCAAAGCACATATGGTGTTATAGTTTGAATGGGAAATCATATTTACAGAGAATTCAGAAAATTAAAATAGTTGATTAAATTAGATGACGCAACACTGATTTCCCAAGTAAAAATAGATTCAGACAATTGATATATATATATATTAATCAAAAATTCATGGTGAAAAACGATATTACAACACTTTATTTCAAATAACTATATCTGAAGTGGAATTTCCGGGTACGCCTCTTATTAAACGATAATTTTGCCAAAAAATATATTATGTAAAATATTAACATGCAAAACTGAAACTATAATGTGTTAAATTAAATACCTTAATGAGTCCCAGACTTGAATCACTACGATTTTCGAGACTGCAGATGCTAAATTTAATATTTGGAAGATCAAGCCGATGGGAAAGTTGTCTTTGGAAACTTTGATGCCTCATAGGTACAATAGGTAAGGTCGTTTGACGCAGCACCTCAAAAAATAGAAACAGAACATGAAAAAACCTTTCCAATTTTACATAAGTATCCTGTGTGTTGTATATTATTTTTACATTAACTCTAAGCATAAAATTATTTTAATTTTGTACAAAAGAATCATCCCATTTTAAAAGGAGAATGTAAAAAAATAATAATTGCTTTCAGTCTGATAATTTTATTTCTTTCGAGTTTAGCAAGATCTTACTAATAGTCATATATAAATGTTGAAGGGTTTATTTTTTAAATCAGGTTAAATTGTTGAATACCTTTTTATTTTCTTTCTGCTCTTGAACGTATTCATGAGTGATTGGATCTGATTGAAGATCAGGTAAAGAATGACTAATTCGAATAGCATTCTGTTGGGAAACATCACTGTTGTTGCTTTCCTGATTATCTTGCCTCGCTACTCCCATAAGCCATCGCCATGTTGAAGAGCACTGAATGCTCACTGCTGCTAGTAACACAAGTGCCATTAATGCTACTCCAGCCCCTATCAGTAAATGATACGGAAAACTTTCGTTCCACTCCTCTAGAAAAAAAATTATTTCTATTATAAATAATTACTATAATCTTGTTGAAATTATTTTGCATAATGAAGCATATTAATTAAACGTGTAATAAAAGTTAAGCCTGAGGTAAATGCAGTGTAATGTTAAGGCCATGCGGGATTGCACTTTAATTTTGACTCGAGTCGAAACAATAGTTTGAGATTTTTCGGGATATTTAAAAGATAGCGAACTAAAAAAGTATAGGATTTTCGACGAGTACACTACTGATTGTGAGAGAAAAGAAAATGGTTGGTGTAACCATTTTTTCTAATATTATTTCTAGTTAGTAAACTATGCGCTGCTACTAATTCATTACTGGCGGGATTGATACACGGAGAAAATTTATTCCTGACATTTTACTGAATATAGTTTGGTAAAACTAAGATGAAGTGTCAAAACAGTAATTTTTCAAGAACTAGACTTGAAAAGCAATTGCATTAAAAGATAATGTAAAAAAGCATAAACCTTATGATACATGTATTAGCGCTTCACTTATACAGTTCGGTAAAACGAAAGATAAATGTTCGCTACATTCATATATTTACTGAAAGCTCGGTAAAACTGATAAGTTGCAATTTACTGAATAGTTTGGAAAAACTTGAAGAACAAAAATAAAAATAATATTACTTCAGTAGATCTATATTAATACTGCCGAAAATCTCAATTTACCTACTTCAATTATTACCTAAACTCCCTCCACCCGTGTAGAAATTGCCTTAAGTAAATTCTATTTGTGATTTGGCCTCCCGAGTCGAAATTTAAGCCCTACTTTCACCCTGAATTTTCAGGGGCTATTGAGTGTTAGGAGTAGTAAAGTAGGGTCTAATTCTAATACAATTAGACCCTACTTTGACTCCCAAAACAGGCGGAAATTTGCCAATCTTCCATTTGGAGAAGCAAAGGAGGGTCTACTTCTAAGAAACCTGTACCGTACTTTTAAACCTCGTAGACCCTACTTTCATACTCCTAGACCCTACATTCTAAAAGAAAATTTAGAATTATTTTTTAATGCATTACTTGAAACACTGCAAATGCAAAAAGTACTCCAAATTCATAAATACTGATGTGTTTTATAGCGTCTATATACACTTCGTGTATATAGACGCTATAAAACACATAAAATTCCACTTTTACTCATCCCAAGTGCTTCAATTGAATCTGAGCAAATCTTCAAATTTTTCTTTTTCTAATTGTAGGGTCTAGGAGTATGAAAGTAGGGTCTACGAGGTATAAAATTACGGTATAGGTTTCTTAGAAGTAGACCCTCCTTTGCTTCTCCAAATGGAAGATTGGCAAATTTCAGCCTATTTTGGGAGTCAAAGGAGGGTCTAGTTTTTAAAAATTGTATTGAAATCAGACCCTACTTTACGACTGCTAAACCTGAATAAGCCCTACATTTTTAGAGGCTAAGTAGGGTCTAAATTTCGACTCGGGCTGATCAGGGCTTGATCAGGTTCCAGGTTACTTCAAAAAAGGGGTTATATAATTTATTGTCAACACATTAAGCGACATTCAATTATTTAAAATTTTTTTTACGTCAGTTTAAGCAGAAAAGAAAAAATTCCAGAAAAAATAAGTAATAATTAATTAAACAATAATAATAACAAATTAAATTTTTTTAAGCGGATTCTAATGAAAATGGAAAATATGTTTATTCTGAATCTGAAGGTACAAAACAAAATTTTAGTTTTTTATTGAAATGAAATAAAACCATTTGCATCATTCACATTTGTCAATTACATTTTTTGTTAGCTTAGATTTTTTTAAACTTATAAGGCCCTAATTACAACCTTATTTGGCCTTTTTTTAAAATACCACTTCAGGGCCTGATGAGAAAAAATGTTTCATTTCCAATTCAGGGCCCTACACGGAAAAAATTTTTTCAGGAAAGGTTCCCAAACTGCACCTGAACGGTGGATTTGAGAAAAAGTTGAGGTCTACTTCTGCATTGTACTAAAGGAATTCCCGAACTTTTCAGAAATCTGCCGTGAACTGTGAGAATTGCTCCTGCTGTTCACGGCAGATTTCTGAAAAGTTTGGGAATTTCTTTAGTACAATGCAGGAGTAGACCTCAACTTTTTCTCAAAATCCACCGTTCAGGTGCAGTTTGGGAACCTTTTCTGAAAAAATTTTTTCCGTGTACTTAACCTGATCAGGGCCGGATGACTACCACGTTTCAATTTCCACACGGGCAATTGTTTACGAACAAATACTAATTGATACACCTGCCTACAGTACATTCTAAACGCATACACTAATACATCATACATCGCACGGTTTACATTATTGCTTCAGAAACTTTCATAACTGTCCTTATATATTAATCTCAATTTTATTTTATTTCACCGCTTGTGAGAGAGATTTAAAGTAATAAACTAACTATACTTATGGTCAATTTATAAAATATTTTAAAATTATCTTCTTATTATTATAAAGAAAAATGTTTAAATTTCTATTTAATGGAATAAAACAATAATTTATTCAAATCCTTATTATTCTCAAAATGTTAAAATTTAGAAATATACATATTTTAAATAAATGCAAGTTTGAAATTATTAAATTAATTAATTGAAAAATTAATCTTTCAAAATATTAAATAATATTCCTATTTCATGTTTTCTTTTTGTATGATTTAAAAACATTTATTACATACTTGACAATTAATAAGTGTTTAAAATAATTAATTAATTAAATTTTAATTTAATTAATAATAAAATAATTATTAATGAAGTATAATTAAGTTGAAAAAATCAACTATTAATGTTCAAGTTTTTTATTTGACTACGAGCACTTAAAAAAGTATTTCAATCCTGAAAAGTAACACTTTAGGCAAATCAAGGAAGTTTTACCGACCTATTCTAAGAAAACTAACACTTTATGCAAGTCAAGAAAGTTTTACCAAACTATTTCTGAAACGTTAAAGTTTTATTTAATTTATATTAAACGTTCAGTTTAAATTTTTTTTTCAACTTTTACAGTACTAGCTTGTAAGGAATTAAGATAAAACATTAAATTTTAAATATTATTATTGAAAAAATAATTAAAAAATTATTAAAAATTACGATTATGCCACACTGTAAAAAATTTGGGGATTTTTCCCTGAGGTTCCTTGTGGAATATTCCACAAATTCACGGGGAAAAGTATTTTCACTACGATTTTGGGGAATTTTCCACAAATTAGTGAAATTTTGAACAAACTTGGGGAAAAGTGATAAAATATTAGGGAATTTTCTACAAAGCGAATGGGAAACAATTTTTTACTACAATTTTGTGCAATTTTCCACATAATAGTGAAAATTTCAACAATATTATAGGGAAATTTGTATATAATTTTAGGGAATTTTCCACATATTAGTAAGAAAATGTCATTTTATGAAAGCTTTGTGGAATTTTCCCAAATTTAATAAAAATTTCCACAAAGTTGAAAAAACTTTTTTAAATTTTATAAAATGGGTTAATTTTTACTAAATTGCATGTACAAAATTATTAACATTTTTACAAAATGTATGATTTAGGGGCTAAAAAATTAAAATTTATATTACAGTGAAATGTTTTTTTATAATACTTCATTAAATTAATGTTTTAAACAAATGAGCTTTGTCTAATTTATAATTTAAATAACAATTTTTACTAGAAAAAGCATTTAGAAGAAATGAAATTAATTAAACTTTACAATTATTATAATTTTAATAATTTAATAATTATATAATAAAAAATACTTTCACTATGAACTACATAAATTTTTTGTTCTACTTATAGTAAAAATTTTATCTTAAAAATACAATTAATACTTTGGTAAAAAATTTTTTAATAAAGCATGTTTAACAAACAATTATAAACTATTTTTCACTTATAAAAAGCATTGCCATAAATAGTTAGGTTTATTAAAAGATATATACTATGGGGGGCCTTAAAATTTTTTTGCTCTTAGTCGAAAGTATAAAATGTTTTGAAGCATTTTCTCATTTTGAAAGATTTGGCACATCTGGTTTGTCTTTGGATGACCAACAATACCTAAGGGTTTCTCGTTGCAAGGGGACGTATTTTATGAGTTTCTCGCAGGACCCGTTTTTTTCTTATAAATTTATTTAGCTAGAATGTTTGAGAAATTCTCAAGAAGTCTTCTTCGAAAAGTCTTTCAAGATGATTTTACATGTTAGTTGCTTTTCAGCCTTCGTAAGAGTAAAACCTTGAGTGAAAAAAATATTCAAAGTTATTAAATATATAGTGATGGTTATATGTATAATAGTGAAGTGGACAATTTGACAATATTTAATAATATTCTAGAACGATATTTAAGGATTATTTAAAAATTATTAAAAAGGTAAATAATATTTAAAGATATATTATAATTATATTGTAAGTGTAACATATTGTATTGTAAAGTTTTTTAAAACTATTTTTGGTTTTATCAAAAAATTTAGTTAGTTATTCATATTTTGCCATATAATGTTAATTTAACAATTGACTTATAGAATTCAATTAATTTTTAATATTTTAGTTAGATAACGTAGTTTAGGTATTTTTTATATTTTAATCAAAATAAAAATTTTTTAATTTATTTTAAAAATATATAAATAAAAATATGAAATATAATATTGAATTAGAAAAGTCAAAACCCTATTACTACTATATATTCATAGTTTTTGGTAAATATATTATTGTTCAATTTAATTTTTATGTATTTTTTTGTCAATTGTAAAAGGTAAATAATAATTTATTTTTACAGTATGTTGTTGGACAATCAACCCCCTAAAGGCAATATAAACGGAGAACTTTCGCATGACACAAAGACTATTTGCGATCCGAAAGCAAAAAATTAATTATTAATGTTGTAAAGTTCAGATGTAGTACTTTTAACTGAAGTACTTATCGTTCACTGACAGTACCTAATATAATAAACAGTATTTAAAAAATTTGTTCAAGATTTATTCAACCTTACAAACCAATCTTCCCAAATATGAAAGGATAAAATTTACTG